CTTCCAGGCAGGATTTCTTGGCCTCCGCTTTTGTATACTTGCTAAAAGGCCTGGCTATCTTTTTTTAAGCACTAATAGGAAGTAAACAAATCAATGTAAATGGGAAAGGTGACAACTAACACCAGGGATAGAGATAAAAATTGAAAAGCAGATATAGAATGAATACAATGTTTATAAAAATCAAGTCGCCAAAAGGGATTACTTTAGGATTAGGAGAAAATATACAATTTCAGAATTAAGTCTTAAAAAGCTGTAACACTTGGAGAGGTAAGATTTTCTTCTTTAGAACCTCTTCCTTATTTAGAACATCCTTCTTGAAATCAGACGTGTGATGAGTTAATAATACAGAATTATTTTGATTTTCCATATTGGAAGAAGAAACAAAAAGACACGTATGCCAAGATTCTAAGGGGCGAGAAGCCTTGTTCTGTAGCCCCCGGCCCAAGAGATTACTGGAAAAACAAAATGGAAAAGCTCGGAGTACTTTAAGATAAACAACTCTGCAAAAGTAATTAGGAACATTTTGTATTTTAAGATACAGGCTTTCAAGAATATGAAACCATAGCCAAATGCAGAACAAAACAAAACAGGGCCCTACCAAGGAGTGAAATATCTTGTGTAGTACTGAAATATTTCAAACCAACAGGTCACATCTAGTAATCATATTCTTCAGGTGTGATGGGATTGTAGTCTAAAAAACGTTAGTGCTCCATCAAAGAGCCCTACATCGGCTATGTATGACTCACCGTGCATTATAGAAGAAAACCTGGCTGCAGAGTGCTGGCTGCTTTAGGAAGCAGCAAGACTTCGCAAAGAGAGACTGATTCAAGGCTCTCGCAGCAGTCCAAGTGGTAAGCAGCAGAGTGGGGGAAAGTGGATAATTCCAAGGGACGTGGAGAGTAAAAGTCTTTGTGCTTAAACCTGGACAGTGAAGCTGAGAAAACTGGGAAGAAATAATTCCAAGATTCTAGTTTAAACTCGGTGCATGGTGGTGCCACTGACTAAAAAAGGGGAAACGGAAAATGGTTTCCATTCATTCATTTATTTGTTTTGCTTCTTCGCTAAGGGGAGGGTGGGAGAAAGAGATGATGAAACAGCTCTGGATATGCTTGCTTTAAGGAGTTCGTGTAGCAACCAGCGGACATGTCCAGTTGGAGAGGAAGATGTGAGTCACTTGTATTGATCCAGGGTGACAACACCACAGAAATTGGTGAAATCACTCCGACCGCTCAAATTAAAAGAGCACACAGAAGAAAACAAAGGAAAACACAGACTCCTGAAGGAGCGGCAAGGGAGGAGAAGATGACAAAATGATTATACAAGAAGGCCTTTGAGAGAGTTGCATGATGTTGTGAGAAATATTGTAGCAAGTACAACCATTAAAATAGGAAGAAAAGCAGGTATTTACTGCTGAGAGCATGCCTGGATCTTTTCTGGGCCAGTGCAATTATGCTCCGGCCACTTAAATGAATTAGCATTTGTTGAAGCCAGCTGGGATGCCTGAGCCTGCCTGGTGGGCTCCACCTTTGTGCAGGAGACCCACAGGGAGTAACTGGCAGAGATGAGGATACAAAAGCTGGACCCCTTGCCTCAGGGCGGGACTCCGCTGTAGCTCCGCTTAGGCTTTGTGGTTCTCAAGGGAATCAAATGAAGGCTACACTTCAAGCGAAACCCTTCCTTTGCCTAACTTCCCCCCTTTCCCTACCTTGCTGCCCTTACTTCTTCATGGTTTTCCCAGAGCACACTCTCTCAGAATCCTTTTGTCACAGAGAATCAGTAAATGATATTATTACCCTGTACCAGAGGCAGTTGGGCTTAACATCACTATCTGTCTGAATATCGAACGCCTTAGACATAACATGGAACTGCTATTTTCCAACAACCACGATATTCTAAACTTGAAATCCCTACAGAATGTGAAAAAAACAATTAAACATTTTTACACAGAAATTTAGAAATCAAACCATATACAATATTATAGCAGGACAATCCTACGACATTTTTTCTTGTCTCTTGTTTCTTTTATTATCTTTTTTAACAAACATTGACTTTAAATAGAGTGTAGCAATAACTGATATGACATTAGAAGCAGTACACATTTAGAAGACAACAATATGCAATATATTAATTATTGTAACTGTCCTACTAATCTGTTTTGAAACCATTTCAGTGCTATTTAATTTCTCATTAAAATGAATAAAACATTAAGTAAATAAATAAATGAGATCACATCAAATTAAAAAGGCTTAGTATAGAAAAACAAAAAAACATAGTGAAAAGACAGCCTACAGAATGGGAGAAAAATTGCCCACTATTCCTCCAGGCAAAGAATATATATACTATCTAATATATATATATATATATATATATATATATATATATATGTGTGTGTGTGTGTGTGTGTGTGTGTATAAAATGGCCACTTCTCAGAAGTACTGATGGCTGATAAATACACAAACAAATACTGATCCTCTCTGGCCACCAGAGAAATTAGAAGTATACTGAGATACCATCTTACCTCAGAATAATAACAAACGAGGTATAAAAAGTAGAGCCATATTAATATGCTGAGCTGTAAAAGGCTCAAGTCAGCAACTTCTGACATTGCCAGTCCTATGGATAACCCACTACTATTATGGACTAGTGGACTATATGGGATTATTTTGCTGAATTCACACACCTACAATATTTAAATGGCAATGGAAGACCCATCTCTGACAAAACTAAACAAAATAAGGGGATACAAAGGAAGGACCATTTTGTATCTGTATATACAAAATAGTTAGGATAACTATACAGCTCCTTTCTCTCAATTCAATGAGAAGAAAGATTTGTACTAATAGTGTTTAGACAAGATATCATGTCTGCATCTTGTACTCTGAATAACTCCTATGAAGACAACAATATGCAATGTATTAATTATTGAAACTGTCCTACCAACCTGTTTTGAAACTGTCTCATTGCTATTTGTTTCTCAATAAAATTAATTTAAAAAACAAATGCTGACAAGCCTAAGGGGAAATCTGAACCCCTCTACATTGTTAGTGGGAATGTAAACTAGTGCAACCACCAGGGAAATCAGTGCAGAAATCCTAAAAAAACTAAAACTAGAAATTCCATTTGATCTAGTTAACTCTCTTCTAGGTTTCTTCCCCAAAGAGTTAAAGACATTATTTTATAGGGATATGTGCGGTCCCACATTTATAGCAGTACAGTATAATAACTTGATCTTGGAAACAGCATATATATCCATCAACAGATGAGTAAAGAAATGTGGCATTTATACACAGTGGAGTACTATTCTGCCATAAAGAAGGAAAAAATTGAGTCATCTGTAGGAAAATGGGTGCACATTGACATCACCAGGTTAAGTTAAATAAATAAGACACACAAACTTAAATATCATGTGTGTGATTTCTTTTACATGAGGGAAACAGAGAGACAGAGACAGGGAGGGAGACAGAGAGAGAAAATAGAAGATAAATAAGGAGTAGGGAAAATTCCAAATAATTCCTAATTTACCTTTCCCATTGTTTCAAAAATACTTTAACCACTTACCAGTCCAATTATTTAAATAAAGGCTGATGACAAATTGCATATTTTCCATTACTGCTCACAAGATTATACAACAGGAAATATAAAACAATAGGTACAAGTGTGTCTCATGCAGCTAGAATCACTGGTCAAAATGACAGGTGCTCCAGCGAAGCTCCAGGTAGTCAGTGAGTCAACGAACCCATTGCACGGGGCCACCCAGGGGGAACTGTTAGGTGGTTGATGTTTATGCTAATTTGCTCGAGTTACACTACGACATTTCATTAGTTCACTGAAGAGACTTTTGTGCTTTTATCCGTTCTTTGTCAGATCCATACTCTGCCTATCTACGACTTATGCACCGAATAATTAGGCAGTTCTTTTAAGATTATGATACACAGTGTATTAGTATTATTGTTTTCTACATATTTCATTATAAAATTTTGTTTTATTATTTCATAGAAGAATGCTTTTTTATATTTTATTAATATCTACTTGTATAAATAAAAGGAATCTTTTGTCATGCCCTACTTCTACAGAACTTAATTAAATCATCCAAAAGTCGTATCTCTGAGGTCAAAGAAATAATTACAGAGGTAGTTCATATGTGCTTTATGTATGTGTCTATCTTTATGTTTTGTTTGATGAGTTGGAAAAATTAAGGAAGAAAGAAGAAAAAGTCAATGACATTGAACACTGGTCCAAGCCACTGAAGGAACAGAATAATAAGCTGCGGAAAAGTGTACACGTAGGCAGCAGCACCCACGCTGGCTGTGGAGCTTACCGACGTTCCTTAGGGTCCTGGGCCTGAAGTCAGACAGCTGTGGGTGGAGGGTGGGTGAGAGCAAAGCAGCAACAATAAAGCGGAGCTCTTGTTCAAGAAGTACAGCTGTGAGGGGACGCAAAGGTGTGTGTGGCAGTGCCCAGACAGCAGAGTTGAAATTTCAGATGCCAGATTCCTAACCATGTTGAAATGCTAAATGACCAGGGTCAATAAAATAGACAGAGTGAAGACCTAACTGAGAAGAGATAAAATTCATAGGAAAAGGCTGGTGAGAAATGCTTTTAAAATATCACTAGCTAGACCTGGTGGCATATGCCTGTAATCTTAGCACTAGGGAGGCTGAAGCAGGAGAATTGCTGGCAGTTTGAGGCCAGCTTGGGCCATAAATGAGTTCAAGGCCAGCTTGAACTGCACAGCAAGACCCTGTCGAAAAAGACAAGCACGGCAAGAACAAAAAAGTCATCACAGAGGGGACTCAAGCCTGGACTAGGAAGCTGCATGAAAGACTCTGACATCATCTTCTCCCTGGAGTGTGAACTGATGTGGCTTTTCCTAAGTACTGGATAACGTACAAGTGTCTCAGATCAGGTTACTGGGGTTCATGTAGGGCAAATGTTTCATAAATAACTGATACCAGCACTTAACACATTCAGCTTTTGTTCCAGTGGTTAAAGCTCCTTACCCGCCAATATCTTGCTTCACAAAGTCTCCAGGTTCTTGCCGTCTTGATTCCCCTTGGCCAGCAGCTCCAGGGAGAATATTAATCAGGAAAAGAAGCGCAAGTCTGGTCTTGTAGAAACGACGCATCTGTGTGATTATCATCTTCTTAGGCACCAACTTGGGAGAAACCTGTGAGAGCCACAGTACGGGGAAAGGAGAGGGACAAAAGAGTAGCAGACAAAAGAAGGGAAGAGAAAGAGGAAAAAAAGTATTAAACTCTCAGAAACATTTAACTTGTACAATACACACTTAACTCACTGCTTACCTTGACAGCTCATCTGTGCAAGCCCAATTCCTTCCCAACAACACGCCTCTGAGCCCCTGACAGTCCACCCAAAGAGATGATGCCAACAGTGGGAAGCGCTCCACCTCAGCACCCAAGAGTCTTGACTTAGAGTTCTACCTCTTGCCTTGTCTTCCTATGAGGGGTAGAATTTCTACCTTTGTTATCTCTTAAATCTACGAACTCAGTATTGTTTCTCATGTCTTCACGTTACCTGCCCTCAATCTGGTCAGAGCTGCAGTATTACAAAGGATTGTGTCCTGGGTAATTGTGTTATGATTATGAAATTCTAGCATATTAAAACCTGGAGCCTCTTTATAGCATTTTTTGCATTGATTTTTTTGATAGAGTTCAGCAATTTTCCACAATATCAGTCTGTGTGGAATAGATACTGTTTCTTCTGAAGCAGGGTGAGAATATGCTAAATAATGAGACATCCAAGATCTGGAATAAGAATGTAATGTTTCCTCACTTAAGAGAAGTTTGAGGGAAAGAGAACTCCTTAAGGTGGGAATTACACAAAAGCAAATCCCAGCCTAGCATCCTGACGGAGAAGGTTCAATGAGTCAGGAAAATAGAGCAATGCTAGAAGCTGGGGCTGGGGATTGCCTCCGCGCAAGGCTAGCTGGTTCAGGAACTCTGCACTGGTAAAGGCGTACTCAAGACACGGAGTTCAGAAAACAGTCAAACATGCACTTGCTTGCTGTCTCTCTTCTAAGTTTATTGGTACAATTCAGGCATGTACAATGATCACAATGATCATGAGGAATTGGTCCCTGTACACACCACACTTGATTTCTCTTTTCCCTCCCTTCAACTCCTCTTCCACTTACTTACACAGCTTTGCTTCCATTTTCTCCTTCTTTCTCCTTCTGGCTTTGCCGTTCCTCCTCCCCCAGCTCCCTCTTCCTTTTGAGTGATGTCTTCCCATTTCACCAGACCTGTGTTGCTTCTTAAATTTGAAACACTGAGCACATAAAGAAGACCTAACTCGGAGTCACTACTACTCTTTCTCAGTCATATCATACATTAATTTTCAGAGGGAAAGGAGACATATTGAACCATTTTTTAAGGAAAATATATTTAATAGGTCAATATGTAAAATTGATACAGGCTTGGTTGCTATTCTGACTAGTAAAAAGATTAAGTACAAAAACTCCTTCTAAATCTATGCCCACCCAAATTATCCACCGGACTCTACATTACACTATCTTCATGAGTCTGGCTCCAGTATATGAAAAACTGGAAAAAAAGAGAAGATAGACTTCCAGCATGACAAAAGGTCTGCATAAGACATAGGAATAATAGTACTATTAGATTGTACTGTATGAGGTAGTCAATATTTAATCATTTTTATTTCAGAAAACAGAAATTTCTTAGGTTTAACCTAATATATGTGCCATGACATTCGTTATTCATGAGATGTATGAGACTTGCTGGATATTTTGTACAAATACGCAGAAACTGACAACTCCCAAAAAACATTATGCATAAAGTAAGAAAATAGGGTGTAGAATCAGAAAAGTCTGGAGTCTGAGCAACACCCATGGTATAGATAGTGACACTGGTGTATGTGTAAATACCTACAATGGCTGGCAGATGCTAATGTTGTATGATCACATGACAAGGGCTGATGCTCAGACAGTCAGGACACAGGATGTGGAACTGACAGCTGTTTTACAGGGAGAGATGTGGTACAGGATATAAAGTTCAAAGTCTGAAAATAAAGCATGATGATTACTCAGAAAACATGGGCTCAGAATTAAGAATCATGAGTATAAAAGAAGATGGCCATGAGGCACGAGCGATCCATGTTCAGTTATGCTCTTCTAGGACATAGGTATGGGCTAGGCTTCAGCTATAGTGCAGGAGTAGCAAACCAATACACTGAGAAATGATAAGGACAGAGAAATAAGTGTTCATGATTTGAGAGAACAAAAGTGATATATATTATGATGCATAAGAAGACAATAGCAATGGGCTGGGGGGATAGATCAATGGTCTAAGTGCCTGCCTGGAAAAACACATGAATCCAGGTTTGATTCCCTGTACCACATGCTGTGTGGGCCACTGAAACTGAGTGTGGGTGGCTCACGCCTGTAATCCCAGAACTGGGGAGGCTGAGACAGGAGGATCATTATGAGTCCAAGCTGTGCAGCAATACCCTGTACCACATAAATAAATAACAAGGATTTTAAAAATTAAGACAATATCAAAACTATATGTTAAAAAGCATTATTCATTAGAAAGTAATCAGAATCTACAATAAAATATAGAAGGGACTGGATATAATATGTATTTCTCTTGCAACCATCGTATTTGGTAATCACATGTGTCAGAAACACTATAGTATATGAGTCTGACAATTAGAAAGCAAGAGGTTGTTGACACATAGTCTTTTTAAAAAATATTTTATCTATCTATCTATCTATCTATCTATCTATCTATTTGGTTCATGGTCTCACTATGCAGCTCAGACTCGCAGTGATCCTCCTGTCTCAGCCTCCCCAGCACTGGGATTACAGGCATGTGCCACCAAGCCTGGTTTTGGTGGCCAGCACAGCATTCCAGGGCTGGCACAGCATATGGTGACTGGGACCGAACCCAGGTCCTTACGCTTGTCAGGCAGGTGCTCAGACCACTGAGGTATCTCTGCAGCCTGACACATACTGTTAAGACAGGTTGTGTGACTGAACACATGCTGCTGGGCTGCTGCCAACAATGTGGATATACTTAATGCCACAGGACTGTATATTTTAAAATGTTTAAGGTAGCACTTTTTATGTGGCTTGTTGCCATATCTAGGAAACAATGTATAAAAAGCACACTGCCAGAATAGGTGGTATTGGCAGCGCAACAAATATTCACCGAATGACACCTATATCCGTCATTTGGTAGAGACATACAACACTTTAACAGGTATTACGTGCACGGTGTGTGCTTAGATCACCATCCAACAAACCCAGAAGACGTGAGCACACAGTACACAAGATGTTAACTATGACAAACTTGGCAATAGTCCAAGGGACTGTGGTACATAAACTCAAAATGTGACAGTGGCCCATGATCGAACATTCACGTAGCTCAGGATAACCACAGTATATGTTTAGATCATCGTGATGCACATGAAGAGGTATTTGCTACATCTTTCCTTAACCCTGACAGTGCACACATGTGTGCATCATGGTAACCATAACAGTTTTGGAGCAGACAGCTATGCTATGGGATAGTCAAGAATAGGAACACAAGGTCGTGGTCCATGAGTGGATGGCTATGGTCAAAATTTTTTGGTTTTTTGGGTTTTTTAAAAATATATTTGGTTGTTACAGGGGCTCACTACACAGCTCAGACTCATATTGATCCTCCTGTTTTCAGCCTCCCCGGCATTGGGATTGCAGGCATGCACCACTATGCCCAGACTGTGGCCAGCTCAGCCCACCCTGGGGGCACGGCTGGCATGGCTTGTGGTGCTGGGGATCAAACCACAGTCATGTGCTTGCCTAAGCAGGTGCTTTGGTCCGCTGAGTTATCTCACCGACCCCCAAATATTTTCACTAGAGCAGAGATGCAATAAGTAGATGTAAAATGGCTATGATGAAGAAATTGATGTTCTTGGGGTAATGATTATCATGATGGATAAATGATCTAAAATAGATGAACACACAAATATCGTATACACATCCATGCTGAATAAATTGAAAATTGTAGTAAAGGAATATCATCTAATACTTTGAATATTGAACTATGATACACTAGAAGAAGGTTAAATCTAATATTACCTTTAAAATTGATGGAAAGAAGCCAAACCACACTGTAAAAGAACCATGCGCATGTTTGTATCAGTACAGAGCATGGAAAAACACCAATGTCATGCGCTTACAGGTCGCCACAGCAAGCTAGCATATGCTTGTGGTCAGAGCAAAGAGGCTATGAAAGAAGAGCCAAGTCTTGTGCAGACTTAGTTGCAGTGGAAAATGCCATCTACAGAACGCCATCTGATGAACTGCAAGTTAATGCTTTTGTTGCATATCTCCTCTGGAACCAATATTTCTATCTGTTCTCCAGGGAAGTACCTATATCATAAGCCCACATGCCAACACATAGGTTAGGCCTAGCATGTTCACATGTGATGCCCACATATTCACATCCCCTGTATACACAGGTCCTGCAGTTTTCCATGCTGAGTAAGAGTGGCTCCACCCTTCCACTGGTTCCAAATGAAAACTTTGGGGTCATTCTTTTACTTTCATAGTCAAAATCCAATCTATCAGCAAGACCCACTGATATGCCATTGGAAAGGAAACATAACCACAATAATCATGGCTCATCACCACCTCTGATGCAAATGTGGCCCATCATCTCACCAGGATTACTGCTAAAGCAACCCAAGTGGTCTGGTTGCCTCTGCCTGTGCTCTGCTCTACAATCTGTTCTCTATACAGCAGCGAGAGGAACTTCTAAGTTGTCACATCAGTTATGTCTCTTTCCTGCTGAAAATTCTCTAATTTCTTCCCAATTCAAAAGCCTTAGTGATCCACAAGGTCCTGTATGATCTAAGGCTCAAATAGCTGGCTAACATTATCCTGTGCTCCCCTCTGCCCTCACCTACCTTACTTCAGTGCCTGTGGCCTCCTGGCTGCTCACTGAGTATGTCAGGTACCCTCCTGCGCCAGGATATTTGCTCTTGCCATCACTTCTACCTAGAATTTTTTCCGTCCAATTTCCTCATAGTTTGTTCCGTCCTTTTCTTCAGATTTTTATTTAAATGCCAACTTTACATTGTGATTCTCCCTAGTTTACCCTGTTTAAAATTTCAACCTTTCTCGACAGCCCTAATGAATTTCTA